TATTAATGATTATATACTTATTATTTGTTATATTTGGTGTTGTGAAACGTAAAGTCTGATTTGACTGGAAAGCCTTGCATATTAATAAGATCTTTTGCTTCTCTCTTTACTTGTTGATATAACTATTTTGGAGTAAGGATTCTTCACTCACAATGGCAGAATTATGCTCAAGCCCCAACTTTTCAAGTTAATTTCATACTTGTATCCTGTACGTACTACTGTTGAGAATTTGTTATGTTAGCTGCAAGGAAAATTTCTCCACAGCCTAAATTTACTCCATAATTTTATATTCTGTGATTAATACAATTCTAATTACAATCTGTTATGCTCTTAATGCACATTTCATTTAAACGGTTGAGTACTTTTCTTAATGCATGATAATCACAAAACATGCGTGTTGTGCTGCTAGAAATGAATAAGTTTACTTGAATCTTTAAAAAAATTGTTTGTGGTGTGTGTGGAAATTTAATAAAGAAATGAAAAATGATGAGGCTACACCTATGCATTTCAATTCAATTTAGTAAACTATAGCTGAACTATAAATCTTACAGAGAGAATTGAGAATGACCAAGAAATTATTAGTCAAGTAATTCTCCCTTGGAAACCAGATCTAACCCTCCCTTCTTACTTCAATTAGATAGTTCAGTAACACCTAAGGATAAACTTAATAAAATAGAACAACCCAATGTCCTTAAAATGGATTAATGAAAGTGTGACCAAAGCTGAACCAAGGAAGATTTGGAATAAACCTCCATTAGGGATTATCTTGTTTGCTTACACACCTGAAACTCTGATGTTATAGTTTAGACATTAATCTTGTTTTGCTATGACTGTGGTTATAAAAATAGTATATATATAACTTAGTATAGAATGATGAGCCAATTTGATCATTCACCATGCATTATATACATGGAGAAGGAGGAAAGGGTTACGGCAACAGTGTGGCACAGCTGCAGAATGCTTGTCTTTAGGTAACCTTAGGGGCAGTGAGGGGGATGACCTAATGACGTGGAGTAGTTCACCTCAGCTAGGTCACGTAGCCAGCAAGGCCTCGCTAATCCTAAAATGGACACCCATTACTAGGGTCATGACAGGCCCATTCTTGAAAGATGCCTCATGTTGTGGATTAAAAATGGACTAATGATAACTTTATGCTTATTATAGTAAGGAATGAGGTCCCTTGACTGTCTTGACTAGAAGGATGATGGAATAAGAGGGAGTGTAAAAATGCGAGCAACATACATTACGTTCATGCACTTGTTTAAGAGTTTATATGTCTATCTATTTTATTGAGTGAATTCTACGTAGGACTATCTTGCTTGTTAGAACGAGAATTTCTTGTCAATTTCTATCATTGTAAATATTCATTGTGATTGCTTTGTGAACTACTCTCTGTGTTTCTGGACTCACTTCTGGTTGGTTTTTTTCTAGGATCTTTCTTGCTCTTTGTTCTGTATATATACATACATATTACATATGTTTATTGATCAAGCAAGGATATGTTGGTTGGATTTTTGTTTATAATATGGATGATAACATGTTATGCATGTTAACTATCTTCTATTTTTCAGATGAGCTATGTCTGTCAATGGCATGAAGATGTTTTTCTTTACCCATATGTTTGATAGTAAATGTAGTCGTGACAATTTGATTGGTTTTATATTTGAAAAAGTTGACAGGAATTGTTTGTCAATCTCAAGTGAAAATATTTTTGTTAGTTTTATCGTCTTTATAATAGTGGGTGATTATAATTGTTTTACATGAGGATTATGAATTTGTGGTGAAAATCTTTATATGAAATATGACAAAGATTAAATATCTTGATAGTAAGAAGGACAAAAGAATGAGTAACCTAAAGATGTTGCACATTCTAACACTAGTCTACAACATTGCAACACTACTATTTATTTGTAGAATGCTGCAAGAAGGATCCAAAAGTGTTCCAACGCCTATTTTAGCATTCCAACGTCCACACAACTCTAAAGTTTATAAATAAATGTTATGGAGGCTAATTTTGATATCTTATTTTATTTTTTTCAAATATTCATTTTAGAAATTTTCTTATATTTATATTTTCTTTCTTTAAATGTTTGAGAGATTTTCTTGTCTCTTTCTAAATTCTCTAAAAAAATTCTTTTATCATCATTGTGTTGTTGTAATGCTTGTACATTTGTGTTTTTAAATTATTGATTTTAGAGAGCTTATCAAACCAGATGGTCGAGTCATGAGTGTTGTAGATGAAATTAAAGAAGAGAACGTAGATAAAGAGTAAGATAACAACTTCTTCATTTATTTCAAAAAAAGTTAGCCCATTTTTAAATGATTTTTTGTAAATTTCTCATGCATCTTATTTCACAATATTTCATGTATTTGATTAATTAATATGATTTTTTTTATTTGATTAGTTAATGTGATCATTTTTTATGCAAGGTTCTACTTGTAAAGTTTTATGTCGAAGGCATTGCTAGAAAAACCACCAAGTTATGTTTTAGAAGCTAAGGTTAATAGCCAATTTACAATGGAAATTTATTGGATTGGATATAACTTATTTGAAGCTTAATTAAAAAATGGATGGTCAAATCTAATTCATAATAATTATGAGTGATTTAAGTGATATTAAGTTTTAATTCTTATAATTATGTATGTTATTTTTTCTATGTGAATGATTTCACTGAATAATTTAATAAAATTGATATTAATAATTGTATATAGGCAATTTGTTATATGTATTTATATACACATTCAACTAATTTTAACATATTAATAATAATTATTATGCTAATTAAATTGTTATTTTTAATTTTATTTTATTTTGATAAAATTTTTGAAATTCTTACTAATCTATAATATTAATTTAACGAGAGTATACTATGTTTATAATTTTGTATAAGACTTTTCAATATATTTGGATAAGAATGAAAAAGAAAACATATTTTACATTTTTAAATTATCTAATATGTTATTTTCTACTTAAAACACTTGATAAGTCTATATTTAGGCCATCTTTACAACCTATATATATATATATATATATATATAAGTTTGACCTTTATTTTATTTAGACTTTATATTGATTTATATGTTAATTATGCAGTTTAGTATAAAAAGATCATAAGTGCATTTTTGGTGTGTTTTAGACCCAAATTGATAAAAAAATCATAGTTTCACAATATTTAGCACCCCCAAACCCGTTCAACAAGCATGAGGCCATACTTATTTATGGGAAGCCCAATTACGAAGAGTTTTAGGATTTTCAAACTCTATTAAAGAGATACCTTAGGTACCCAATTGAGACATCTTATCTTTTACTCTTTGATACACTTCTCATCTCGTCTTTCCTTGCATAAAATCTTTAGTATATTCTTGATGGGACTTAGAACTTCGAGAGACCGTACTTGAAGATTAAAAATTCATCTCATTCTAGTTTATTTTTCTTTATGACTTTGTTTATGATTGTTTTAGTTTTTTCATTTAACATGAATAACTAAGTTCATAGCTAGAGTTATGGAAACTTTTGTTTATGAATTTATGTGATTTTAAAGGTTGAATCTATGTTTAAGTTCCATTTGTGATTAATGTTTATCTTATTGCGTATAATTGTATAATCCTAATTAATTATATGGGACGACCATACCTTAATTAGTTAATAGATGTATAGGATAAGACGAGACAAAAGATTATGTGAACTAAACCAAATTTTCTCTTCTAATCATTATTAAATTAACAAGTTTATAAGTACTTTAAGCTTTCTTGAATTAATATCTTACATGACTATTGTGGATGTTACTTTAGAGAAAAGAATATTAATATTTCATAACAATTAGATATTGATAGTAATTGTATGAATAATTAATAATCACAAAGAAATTGAACTTAGAATTAAACAGAAAAATAATATAAATGATTGAATAAAAAATTCATATGCTCTAGGTTTCTATCCGATAAGTTCAACCATAATGTGAATTATATTCTTTATTCTTAATTTTATAATTGATTTTATAAATTTTTGTTTTAATTAATTTCATATCTTTTAAGCTTAAATAATTGAATTAAAATTTTTTTATTAATTGGAAAACAATCCTTATGGTATAATAATTCAATAATTTTGTTTAAAAATTTTTTATTACTTCTCGACGAATACACTTACCTATCAAATAATATTATCTTATAATGAACTCTTTTTATTTCTTTTATTGCGGTCAATACTCTTTATCTATTATTTTTGAATGCCATTTTTATGAACTTCTTTTTATAATATTTTTAGTAATACTATTAGTTATGTTTAATGGAAAAAAATTAATTTAGAATACATTTAACAGACAAAGAAACTAATAAAAAAATTAAAGCAAAATAAAAAAAGTTTATAGACTAATTTATCAATTAATCTTTTTTTAATATTAACACAAAATTATAATAATCTTTCTATCAACTTTTGTGAGATAATGTTTCTCTATATATATAAGAGTAGGATTTTTTCACATTAGTTTAAATTTAAAAGTTTTTATACTTGATTTGAGCCTTTTATTTAATTTACATCTAACGATATGTATAAATTAAATAAAAAATTTAAATTCAATATAAGAGTTTTTAAATTTATACGGAAGATTTTTAATTTTTACTTATATATATATATATATTATAAAATACTGAATATATAACTTAAGGAATAAAATATGAGATGTTTATTAATTACATTTTTTTATCGAAAAACCTTTTTTTTTTTCCTTAACGCATTATAGCATTTGCCAACTCAAATTTATTAATGATTTTGAAAAAAAAAAAAACGCACAAAATTTACTACACATTGCAGTTAGGTTAGAAAATGAAGAATAATAGCGGTTAAAAGAAGGGGAAATGCAGGCCCCACGTGTATCAATGCCACCTGGTGCAAGCCAATTGGATAGTGACCTGACTTTTCATTGTCCCACTTTACCCTCAACAACTCTTCTCACACCCTCTTCGCCTTTGAAACGCTTCCCGAATTGCGAGAAACGGCTCAGCCTCGGATCCGAAGCACCGAGCTTCTCTCTCCGAACCTGGGCCTCTCTTGTTCGTTGAAAATTTCACTCACTGTTTCGATCACTCTTGTATCTGTCCGAGCTCAAACGCTCCCCTTCCCTCCCCGCTGCAAACCCTAAAACGCTCGCGTTTCGAGGAGGATCAGCTTCGTGCTTCAATGGACCCTTCTCAATGTCACTGTGAGTTCACGCCCTCTCTTTCTTTATTTAAAAACCCTAGCTCCCTCTTTCTCTCTCTAGAAAACCTCAGTTTATGGAAAGAAAATGAAAGAAACGAGCCAAATCTATGCGCGTGTGCAATCCTGGGACCTCATGCAGTTGTTTTGTGCGGTGTCGCCGATTCAAATACTTATTGGGAAATGGAATTGCACACTTGCTTCCGATCTTGTGTGTTATCGTCGCCAATGTGCGTTTTCGGTTTTGGTTTGAGCTCAGTTGCTGGTGGAGCTGGTGGGAGAAGAATTGTGATTGAGTGTTTATGTTTTTTGCTTCCTCCCATTTCTAGAAAAACCGAAACGAATAGTTAAATGGAAATTAAATTCGGTTTTGGTGACTTGTTCGTTTTTTATTAGATTCTAGTTTTGGGCACTTGATTAGTTAATTCTTCTTCAAGGTTTTCTATTATTTGTTAATTATTGAAGATAAGGCTCTGCTTGGATGTGGAATTCTTGGGGGATTTTTGGGGGTGGGGGGAGAGTTTGAAATACCGTGTTTGTGAAAAAAATGTTTTATATTTTTTGGGCTTAACTTATGTATAAGTTTTGAAAATTCTATGGGATATTTATCGGGCATTTTTTTCCGCGCTCAAATTGAAAATTTTGAAATAACAAATTCGGAGGTGGAGCCTTAAAAATCCTTCGTTGTCTCTCTCTCTCTTCTTAGACATTGTCGCTCGCTACTATATTGATTCAACTTAGAAAGTAGGGTTAAAAACTAAGTTCTTTCAAGACAATATTAGTTTAAAAAAATCAATTCTTGCTTGTTCTAGTTGGTTTATTCTCTGTTTTTTAGTTTACTGAGGATGGCTCGGTCAATACACAATGATATAAAGTGATTACATGGACCTATTGATAATTGTATGATTTATCATACTTCTATTGGGTTATTGGCTTGCTTTATCTTCAACTAAGTCTGGAAACATGGCCAAGTAAAGTCATGGTGACTTCTACCCATAGTGCACCCTGTAGTCATTGGCATCTTTAGATGAAATGAATAAATTATGAAACTGTTTTACACACACACATAAATTTGAATATTGGGATATGGATGTAAAACTAATTTGTATGTCTGTTTACTTAACATAAGTGGAAAGAAAAATTATGCCTTCAGGACAGCTTGGAGAGAGAACTGATATGCTGAACATATAAACTTCTATCCTATCTTTTACATTTTCTTGTACTAACAATCTGATTGGTGTAAACAAATTATATAATCTAGTTAGGAAGAAGCTAGTTGTTAAAAGAAAAAGGTTTTGTGATAAAAATTCTATGCTCTTGGATGCCATATTAATCAGATAGGTATGAACAGTGATGATGGATGCTTTTGGTGAATGTCTTTTTATACCTACAGTTAATGTGTATGTGTACATGCAGTCCAAAAGGAGAAAATTTTGTGACTTCGGATGATTTGAAGTTTTTGGATACTCTGGCCTGTTAACTGGTTATGAGTTTGCAATGAATTGCAGCTTTGATTTTCTATTTGAAGAATAACTGCCTGTTACTGCAAATGTGATGTATTTATCAACTGTCTTAAGGATCGTAAGTTGCAGAAATAGTTAAATACTGGTGGGATATCAGTATAAATAATAGTTGATAAGGCAGAATACCCACTAGAGCAACATCCATTTCCAAGCAGAAGCTACGTATATGGTTTGCAAAATAAAAACATTGCTGTGGGATTCTTTTTGAAAAACTAATTTTGTACCTCATATTGCTTGCTTGTAAGACATGTTTGGATGTCACTGTTGTGCAAAAGCTTATATGTGCTTTATTGTGCATTAATAAGATTTATTTGTTGTGTCATAAAAAACTAATACTACAAGTGACATGATGCATTTGATTAATAGTTCCCCATTGACACCAAATGGATTTTTACTTGCAGGGATTTTTTGAATAATTTCAAGGGTTAAATGGTAGTTGCTCAGAGGTGTGTTTTGGGATAGCATCATGCTTAGAGAGACCTTTCTTCATCGTCATTCTATGTAGTTTGTCAAATATTTTAGCTTTATCTACTAAGCGTTCTTATAAATAGTTGTCTGCTGAAAATTTGTGGGCTGGATTATCTATGCCTGGAAACGAAGTAGGAGATAGGGTCCATAATTTTTTTGGTCAAGAGAACTTGTCCCAGGGACAATATCATTCTCAGGTGGTTGATGGGAACTGGCCAGGACTTGGCAACAATTTGTGGGCTGGTAACCAGAGACCAACTGGTGTGCCTTTTATTTCCAATCTGAAGAATTTTAATCAACAACAATCAGGTAAAAGTTCTGTAAACTTTTTAAAAGTTTTTAAAATCCTGTATGGATAAGTTTTAACCTGTATTTATCCTTTTTTTATACATTTATATTGGTTTTAATAATTAAACTGTGATGTTGAATTTAATTTTGTTACATGATTTGGGGTTGTCTTTATTAATTAATAATCATACTTCCTTTCCTGGCACAAAGATTCAGAGCAGGGACATGCTGGGTCTCCACATTTGCGATATGGGTTGAACCTATCTCAGAGTAGTTTGAGGCCTGAGTCTGGCAGAAATCAGCTGCCAAATCAACAAACAACTGTGAATGGCTATGTGCAGGGACAAGAAGTTTTCCAGACCAGGCAGAATGATGCTAACATTTTGGGAGTGGATACGGAATCTGATTGGCATAACTTATCAAGAGGAATGCCGGTGCTAGAGTCACAAGGGAGTCTTGAACTTTATAAGAAAAACTTGGCTAGGAATGCTGCTGCTGAATCTCCTGTCAATTTTGATTTTTTTGGAGGTCAACAGCAAATAAGTGGTCGTCATAGTGGAATGCTTCAACCTTTACTTAGACAGCAGTCAGGATTAAATGAAATGCATCTATTACAGCAGCAAGCAGTTCTTAACCAGATGCAGGAACTTCAGAGGCAGCAACAATTTCATCAACTAGAAGCAAAGCAACAGAATTCTATGACTCCAACTCCATCCATTTCTAAACAGGCAGTTGCCAGCCATTCTACACCTCTTGTCAGTGGCATTCCTGTCAATGAGGCATCTAACCTTATGTGGCAGCCTGAAGTTATGCCAACCAATGCTAATTGGCTCCAGCGTGGTGTGTCTCCAGTTCTGCATGGATCTTCTAATGGACTTATGTTATCCCCTGAACAAGGACAGGCATTACGCCTGATTGGTTTGGTTACGAATCAGGGTGATCAGTCTCTTTATGGGGTTCCAATTTCTGGTTCAAGAGGTACTCCTAACCTGTATTCTCATGTTCAAGCAGATAAGGCTGCAGTGCCTCAGATTTCTATCCCACATCAGTATTCTCATGTTCATGGGGACAAACCTGTGCTACAACACGTATCATCCGGTGATACTTCACTTTCTGCTCATCAATATACTGCATTTTCAGACCAAATTAACACAAATGATGGGACTCCAGTTTCAAGGCAGGATATTCAAGGAAAAAGTATGTTTGGTTCTTCTGCTCATGGTGTAAACAGTGGAATGAATATGGAGAACTTGCAGCACGTGAATTCTGAGCAAAGAATTGTTCCATTGCAAGATTTTCATGGGAGGCAAGAACTAGCTGGATCTTTAGAGATGTCACAGGACAAGATGCTGATGCAGGCTCCTCCTTCACAGAATATGGCCACCCTAGATCCCACCGAAGAGAAGATTTTGTTTGGCTCAGATGACAACCTGTGGGATGGATTTGGCAGGAATATAGGTGGTTTCAGTATGCTGGATGGTACTGATAGTGTTGGTGGACTTCCATCTGTTCAGAGTGGGAGTTGGAGTGCACTAGTGCAGTCTGCTGTTGCAGAAACTTCTAGTAGTGACATGGGCATACAGGAGGAGTGGACTGGTCTAAGTTTCCGGAATATGGGACGTTCGTCTGGAAATGAGCAGCCTTCAACAACTGATAGCAGCAAACAGCAATCAGTTTGGACTGACAGTAGCTTGCAGTCAGCATCTAATATAAATTCAAGACCATTTATTCGGCCTGATGATGTTAGTAGGTTGAATACTACTGAAAATTATTCTGGTATTTCTGGATTTCATCAGTCAGGTCCTGATACTAAACATGAACAGCATGACAGGTTACAGAACAATTCTTGGAGGTCAATTCCACAGTTTTTAGATAGAGGCAAATGGTTAGATTGCAGTCCTCAGCAAAAACAACTTGTGGAAGGGGGTAATATGTATGGAAATGCTACTAACTCTTCAGGTTTAGAGAAAAATCAACAGACCATCTTATCATGTAATAGTAGTAATGATCATTTCAGTAAATCTAATGGATGGGATGTTATGAAATCACCCCCATTTGATCAGAGTTCTACTTTCAAAACCCATGAACATGAAAATTCATTGAAGTCCCATAATGATAAAGTAGTCCATGAAGAGATGGGTCAGGTTCCTGCAATGTGGGAGCCTGATTCTAATACTAATTCATCTATTGGAATGGAGCATGTAAAGTCTGCAGGTAATATGCAGGTTTGTGAGGAAGATTCTGGTATGAATGGTATTGCTGCATTATCAAATTCAAGCGCTGGATGGGTCAGCAGGCAAAGTAGCAAGCAGCTCCCTAATGTTGATGTATGGAGAGATGCTGAGTTGGTAGGCAGCTATAGAAGAAATGAAAGTCCAGTGAGGTATCAGCAGCATATGGAGAGAAACCCTTTAGTCTTGGAATCATCAAAGAATGGAAAGTTAGAAGGCGAGACACATGATTTGGGGAACTCTAGCAAAACTGAAAAATCAGCAGATGGTCTTGGCTCTAATCCTTCCCATCCTAGAGCTGGTGGTATGAGAGAAAATACCAGTTTTGACAGTAATGATTTGCATAGTCCAAAGTTATCTGGGCAGGGAAATAGAAGACCTCCAGTAACTCGTAAATTTCAGTTTCACCCAATGGGGGATCTGGGTGCTGAAGTGGAATCTTACGGAAACAAACACATCATAAATTCACAGCCTATGTCCCATCAACCCTTTGGAGGACTTAAAGGTCAAAACCAAAGCTATCCTGGACAGTCAAAGTATAGCAATTATAATGATATGAATAAGGTAATTTGTAAGTTACCTTGTTGTACACTTCTATTCAAGTATTCCTGTTGATTACTGAAATTTTTTTGGCTTAGAATCTGAAGTTGTTTATATCCTTTACAATGTAACTGAAGCATGCACCTAATTTTCAGATTGACTCACAAAGCTTGGATAATAATGCTTCAAAAAGCATATTTCCTGGTCATGTGTCAAAAATGTTAACCTCGATGGATAGAAGTGTTGGGAATTATGCCTCACAGAAGACTGCTTCACCCAGGTAGTTGAATTTGAAAACTTTCTTCATGCTTTAGTTTTAAACATATGAATTAGTGCTATCATGTGATCCTTCTGGTCTTATTGGTGCTGAATGCTGATTCTTGCTTTACCTCTCCTTTTCCTATTATATACTTGTATGACTTACATGATGACCCTAGTTCAACTGTTTGCTTCAATTTTTCAAAAACTATCATTGTCAAAATATTCCTGAGATTTTTCATTAAGTGGATCAGTCTAGGTGGTATGGCAATGCAACAAACACTTGCCTTTCTAACTGCCATTTATCTTCCAGGGTGCCTGAAACTGAATCTTCTGATGGATGTGCTGTACATCCTCAGCAGAATCACAGTTCTTTGTCTCAGGGATTTAGTTTACAATTGGCTCCTCCTACTCAACGGTTTCCTCTGGTATCTTCTCATGGCTCATCAGAGACAGATCATACTAGTACTACATTGCAGGTGTCTGAGACAAGGGATAAGGGCCAGACCTGGTTGGGTACTGATCTGGCTTTTCCTTCTCAAGAGTTGTCTCATGGGGAACTTAGGAATAATATTTCTAGTCCCAATGGACAAATATATGATAAGGCCTCACAATACAGTGTGCAGGGAATCATTCCACAGGGTTTTACACCTGGTTTTCCTTTCTCCAGGATCCATACTCAGAATCCGAATTTGGCAAATCTTGGTGGACAAATAGCAAATACTCAATCTGCTAATGCAACTTTCACTGCTTCCTTGAATCAGACAGATGAGTATTGTGAAGGAGCTCAAACTGGTGAATCTGACTTGGCTTCTGCTCAGCACATGTCCCAGCTGAATGGTATAGACCAAAATCGTCTGGGAGATCCTGCCATCCAAAATTTTGCAGCAGAGGCTGTCACTCCTTCAAAAGTTATACACAATGTATGGACCAGTGTTTCTAGCAAGCAACATCCTAATTCTTCAAGTTCAAAGTTTATATCCCTGCCCCAACAAATTAATGATTGTGAAATGGCAACTGGCTCACAGAAGCCACGTGATGAGAGTTCGGAGAAAGATGGTATTGATCTTTCTAGTATTGGTCCTTGTTCTGCATACTCCAATAGTTCTGTAGGAAATTTGCTTAAAGAAAGCTCGATGCAGCAGACATTGCCTGAGAGTGTTGTTACTGCTGAAGCTGCAGGTGCATTACACCTGAAGGAACCTGTTGGGAAATGTGTGTCTGATACATCTCAACTGAGCTCAGCTACTAACTCCAGAGATATTGAAGCTTTTGGCCGGTCTTTAAGACCAAACATTGTTTTGAATAGTAATTTCTCCTTGTTGGATCAAGTTCAATCCATGAGAAATGTGGAGACTGATCCCAGTAATCGGGATGTCAAGAGATTGAAAGTTTCTGATAATGTGGTGGATGAACAGCTGGTGGATTGCAACCATGGTCAACAGTTGTCATATGGATATGATAATACGGTCAAAGATGGGTCTGGTAATAATTCCATGCCATCACCAGATCCTAGCATGCCAAACTTTTCAACAAAGCTACATAATGGACAGGAACAGAACACCAATGCATCTTCTCAGGAGGTGGTTGGTTATGGTCAGAAAAATGCTGTTAATGTTGCTGACAGTAATAAAACTGTTTCTATTAAAAGTGATCATTCTCTGGTAAATCCTCAGATGGCACCATCATGGTTTGAGCGATATGGATCTTTTAAAAATGGTAAGATGTTGCCAATGTATGATATACGGAAGATGAATGTTTCTAAGATTATGGACCAGCCTTTCATTTTACCAAACCAGTCAGATAGTGTGCGTTTTCATAATTCTACAGAGCAACTTAATGGTGTCAGTGAAGCTCAACTAAGTAATGCTAGGCAAAGTCCAATGCCTGCTTCAGTTGCAAGTGAGCATGTAGATTCTCAATTTTTGACTCCTGCTGTTGAACCTGACTTGCCTATTATGAGAGCAAAGAAACGTAAAAGTGCCACATCTGAACTCCTACCGTGGCATAAAGAGCTGTTACAGGGTTCTGGAAGGCTTCGAGATATCAGGTGACTGACAAAACTAAATGATTTAATGTGCTTATTTTTTTGTTATTGCTATTGTTCACATAGGAAAGATATCTTGAGTCATCAAGTTGATATTAAATTATGTTATTTCAATTGTTTGAAAGAAAAATATCTTGTGTTGCCACTGTTTCAGTGATTTTTAATATTGTTTAATGTTTGCCAATATGTTAAGTATTTGTTCTCCTCTAACTTGTATATAGAGAAAAGTGTATGAATGTTGTGTCACAGATGACTGCACACTTGTGTATTTATTATCACAAAAACGAGTACAGATAATCAATCAAATCCCCTAATTACAGTAACTGTTACATAAATATAAACACATGATAAAAATGTTTTCTAACAACTTAAATTTCTTATTATTTGGCAGTGCGGCAGAATTAGACTGGGCCCAAAGTGCAAATAGATTGATTGAAAAGGTTTGTTTATGATTTAAATCATTCTCTGATCATGAATCTATAATTCTATAATTAATAAGTTCACTTTTACTCTATAATTTTAGGTTGAAGACAATGCAGACGTAGTTGAAGATTTGTCATCAGTGTTGAAGTCAAAAAGAAGACTTGTAGTGACTACACAGCTTATGCAGCAACTACTTGGCCCTCCTCCAGCATCAGTTCTCGTTGCAGATGTGAAGTTGCATCATGACAGTGTGGTCTACTCTGTTGCCAGATTAGCATTAGGAGAAGCTTGCAGTTCAATCTCATGGTCTGGATGTGGTACACTTTTGCCTCCTGGCAGCAAAAACCTGTAAGATTGTTTTTTTCTTTATATGCACACACATGTATATATAACGGGTCCACGATCACATTTGTGCAAGTCAAAATCACTTGTAACATTTATTTGATAATTTATCCAAAATTCATCATCAGTTTGGAAGTTCCTTACGATAGAGATTGTATATGTAAAATATTGCGTTTTGCCCAAATTATTTAGCACTTAATGGATATAAATCAAGATTACATGATATATGCCTCTGAAATATATGAAAATAAGAACTATTTGATTTTGTTCTTATTGTACAGTTTTTTTATAAGATTTGACAGTTGAGACAAACATGGTAATGAATAGTTACAATTCAACAGTTGAATCGATAAATCACATTCTAATATAAAGTCATTGAATGTTAAGTCTTACACTAGTATAAACAATTCCTCCTCTGTATTACACTCTGCTTAATGTAACAATTAACATTTTTTAGTTATATGTTCTGTAGACTGCCTGAGACGTGTAAATCATCCAATAAAATTGATCATTACTTATTGAAAGTTATGGACTTTGTTGGTAGAGCAAGGAAACTGGAAGATGATATATTGAGGTACTATCATAGTATTTAGTTTTATACTTTATATTCATTATTTTATTTTCTTTGTGGGTTTAACAAATTGTGTCTAGTCTGTACGAGTAACAAATTTCATATGCAGGCTCATCTGTCTATATGAATGCAAATATGAACTGGTGCTTTGGTATTTGAAAGATTTAAGGTTGACATAGATTTGTCTTTTCATTTCTTTTTGTGTGGTATTTGGATAATTTAAGTTGTTGTAATAGGGATTTGGTCTTGGTTGGTTACTTTCCTTTTGCTTTTGTAAATAGGCCTTATATGTTCAATTGACTCAACTACTGATTGATAGAGATATAGACTTTCCTTTGCTTGCATAGGTTGCCTGAAATAGGTTAAGTTTTGCATACTATTTGTTTGGATGCAATCGAATGTTTATAATGGGAAAAAAGGTTTTTACTTCCGATGTTACTATTATGGCTCTTTTCAACTGTTAAACTGAAATAGGTGATTAATTATAAAGAGTTGGGTAAGTGGTTTCTTGATAGAAGAAGAATTTGTATAATCCTCCAACTAGGATAGTAGGATATTTTAGATGCAACAGAGACATCAAATTGGTATATGTATATGTGAGAATATCAATGAACTGAGAATGTGAAATCCTTCATACCAATTTGTTGAAAGGAAGAATGATATTAGTTTACAGAATAAGTATTATTAAATGGAAGATGTGTACACCAGGTCAAGGACTATATCTTGAAGAAAATTAAAAAATAAAGAAGCAAGAAGCTAGGGATGGAGGGTGGAAGATTATTCATAGATTTTATCCAAAAATTCCTGCACAATTATTCTAGTGAGCAAAATTGCCAAAGATAATTACAAAATCAATGTAAATTGAACTAAAATCAAGAAAGCTAGAATAATTGGCATAATTGAGATTTTTATGGTATTTACATTTTCTAACTTCATTTTTCTATTAAAAATCTATGAAAAAGATAAGTAAAATATTGACAAAATGTGAATTCATCAATTATACCACTTTGTATAATCCTTTTTGAAACAACTGTGATTTTGGAAGCTGAGAAAACCTCATTGGAACTGTCTGTAATGTATTTAGTGAGGTTTCTTTCATTGATAGTGATTCTTCTGTGTCACTCATGTAATAAGGTTTGCAATTTTTGCAGTAGGTTGAGTCATGTACAATTCCATGTCTATTTCTCTTTGTATCTAATGTTCATGCACCTTGTTACCAAATAAATTTGCTCAATCTTTCTGGTAGTAATCCCCTCTGCACTTTTTCTGTTTACCTATTAAGAATTTAATTTGGCATGGTAATGAATGATAGTATTTTCAATTTCCCATAGCTCATATGTAGTGCATGTGGAAAAATTGACCTTATTCATGTTTCCCTTCTAATTAGGTTGCCTGCTACTGCTACTATAATTATGTTATATTCATTCCAATGCCTTCATCTATCTTTACATGACAGTGACAATTTTCTTGTACTTATTTTATACCATTTCATCTTTGTGATGCAGATTGGAGAGTAAAGCCTCAGTTTTGGACTTGAGAGTGGAATATCAGGATTTAGAAAGATTTTCTGTCATCAATCGATTTGCCAAGTTCCATGGACGGGGACAAAATGATGGGGCAGAGACCTCATCATCCTCTGATGCAAATACAAATGCTCAGAAACCAGTCCCAATGAAATATGTTACTGCAGTTCCATTGCCTAGGAATCTTCCAGACAGGGTACAATGTCTTTCACTTTGATAATTATTTAATTCATTTTTCTATCTTTTTTGGTCAATCGACTCCTGCAACCTCCTGTTTCTGGTCCTTTTCTTTCAACTTCTATTATTGCACTTCATCGCCATAGAGCCTTACAACTGGCAATGTAGGAGAAGAATGGTACTAGATTGCCTCCTCAACCACTGGAGGCTGTAGATCTTTGCAATATATATGTGTATGTACGTGTAGATCTTTTCAATCTAGTTATCCCTTTTGATTTTCAGGTTCCAAGCCATTTGTATATAGCAAAATTATATGCAGTCTATTAAGGTTTAGCCATACCATTTGGCTTGGTTTAGCAAAATCATTTTGTTTCTCCCAACATCAAGTCATTTTCTGTATGCTTTTCCTGTCCTTCCCATTGCAAAACCCCTTTGGCAGGGGATGTTATGAGACAACCATCAGCTAGTGTAGGACCTCTAAAAAAGTGAACTTGTTTTACTTTTGGCATTTAAATAGTATTGACAATTGACTATACTTAATTTGTAGCTATATAAAATCTCCATTTAATACTCCTGATTATTATTTCTTCAATAGTCTTGGATATAAATTGGTACTAAAATTTTAAGCTTAATTGATGTCATACAGAAAATTGTCTTGCGGATGTTAATTTAGCCATTGGATATCAATTGAAAGTATTCCTCATTAATGTTGGCAAGCTTTTTTCATTTTGAATAATTCTGGATGTTGTGAATGATGTACTTATTGGGCAACTAAGCTTCTGAATAATGGAAGATGCTTTTGACTATCATGTTGGTTTCTTTGCAATTTACTTGATATTTGCTGGCCATGTATTATAGTTAAAGAATTTGACATGTTTGTTTTTAGTAAGTTTATTTTAATAATGAATAGTGGTTTCGGAAGCTGTAATGCTTCTGAGTTCCAGGACTCAAATATATACCTGGTTAATATTGGGAATTGGCTTATAGAGAAACGGTCTACGTTATCTATTTGTGATTTGCCTCATTTCCTTAAATTATCTGTTTGCTTAGTTGCTATATATATATATATATGTTTGGTTCAACTTATTTTGTTGAAACAATTGCTTATTTCTTTTCAGCTTCTTGAGAGAGCTTATGAAAAACTTTTTTTTTTTTTTTTTTTTTTTTCTGGATGTAAGCTGAACTAAACATCCTATAATTGTTTGAGTCAAATTACAATTTCCTTGATAGAGACTTAAATCACGTTGCTCTCCTTTATTTAAATTAACATTCTCTTGAGAGATTAACGTGTTATACTTCATTTTAATGTTGAGGGTAGATGAGTATTTAAAGTTTGAGCTTAGCTTTTGAAAAAAAAAAAAGGGAATGTTCCAAGTTTGATTCGTTTAGTTAAACGAAGTTTAAAGCTTCAGCTTGACTTGATTAATAATTTTGAAACTTGGGCTTGATTTATTAACTTGTTTATTATTTATTTTACAAGTTTTGAATTATTATTTTTATTTAATGAGTATTTTTATGCTAAAAAATAGAGAAAAATGGTAATAATTTTATTTATTTACATGAAGATTAGAAACAGTTTATAAAAATGTTATATTTCTTTTAAGAAAATATATGGTCACTTATTTAAAATAAAACTCTTGGAAATTTAAATTAGGTGAATAATACATACATGATAATAACAAATTGTAAATTTATTGTAAATGTAATAATAAAATTATAATTATTAAATTGAAATATGTATAATGCGAGTTTCTTCTTTCATAAGCCTTTGTAATTTAATAAGATTTAATACATATTATGGCATGAGTTGCACAATTTTCAACCTTTTAAGGCCCATAGTAAGGTGCTTAATATTTCATCCCTTGAAGGTAATTTATCCATGTTTTTATCGGTTGTCTAAAAGCCTACACTGAAATGTATGTAGGATACTGAAAAGAATATCTTTATAGTAAGGGAATAATATATGTACTTTTGCAATTCTGGCTTTTCAACTGCCCTTGTACTCGGAAAGGGATTTTCCATTTTCTACCTATTTTGGGGTACAGGGATCCTATATGAATGTTTTTGTAAATTATTAATGAGAGGAAAAAACAAGAGAAGGAAATTTGCATTCTTTAGTTAATTTTTTTTCCACTCTTTAAATTTGCTTTCTTCCGCTAAAATTATGACCGATTATTAGGTTTCACAGGTCTTTGGACAAATATATTCGTATGAATCAACACTAGATTCTATATTATTTTAGACAATTTAACGTTATAATCATAAAATGTCTTGTAAAATCCAATGAGTAATGTCGTCCATATCACTGTAGCGGTAAAAGGTCGTTTGACCAACTTGAAATGCTGGACATGTTAGACCTAGTTACTATCCTATATTATCCTAGGACGACGATCCAACAAAGAACAAGGAATTTTTGGAGGACCAATTAGGATAACATAATCTCACCATTCAATGGATGAAGAATGCAGGATCGAGGAAGGATTGTGGTAGTGACCCTCAAATCACACAAAGATTATATAGATTTTCTACCATACGAGTTGCTTATAGGCATTTTTAACTTCAAAGTTGGGTGATCAATAACATGAGTATATAGATAGATGCTATGTACGCGTGGATATGAGGTATGGTAAGAGAAGAAATAAAATAAAAATAAACAAGAGACTACTCTATAATTCATTGAAATATATTATGTCTTCACCAAAGTTCATAGAGAGAAAGAAGATCAATTGTGATTTTTAACAGAATTAACATTTTATATATATAAAAAAGATTTATTTAAAATAATTTTACAAGTTATGGGACTAAAATGAAAAAATAAAATAAAAAACTAAATTGAAAAAAATAAAAAATTAAGAGACTGCTAATTTAGTCATTTTTAAATTATTGATTTTTTCTAGCTTGTACAATATTACATAAGAAATATATAATAATTTTATTATTAAAAATTATAGTATTTAACAGTACTAATATATTAAATTGCATTCAAATATGTAACTTTTAATTAAAAAAAATATTATATGTAACTTTTATTTTGTGTGATGTTTCATATGATACAAAAGTTAAAAGGAAAAAGTTAATACTTTTTAGATTTGTCATTTTTTTATATAAGATTTGTCATTTTTTTAATAGAAAAATGGGAGGATATAACATTTTTCATGTCGTGGGTGCTTGTATCACTTCAAAGTGTTTAAGACTATGTTTGAGAGTTAGGTTTAGGAGGGGAGGGGAGGAGAGGGGGTTAAAATGAGTTTAATCATATTTGAGAGTTGCTTAATTAGGAGGAGAAGATTTTGAAAGTTTTTCTAAACTCTGCAAAAACTTATTTTTTGAGTTCTTCTATTTTAAGATTTTCTCTTTCCCACTCTTTCATATTATTTCACAAATAGGATTTTAACTTTTTTTTTAAAATGTTAGTTTTTTAAGTGATAAATTTTTAAAAAAAATTAAAAAAAAAATAATTTTAAAATTATTTATATAATTAAACTCTCTATCGCTTTTTTTTCTCAATATTAAACATCCAAATAAGAGAGGAGTTTAACATTCTTTTCCCTTCAAACCCTTTCTCTTTTTCTCCTTCTAAACTCTCAAACAAAGTCTAAGGCGCTGACAATACTCTTGCATTATAATATATCTTTCACATGATTATAAAATAATCACTTTTGATATCAATCACATTTGTTTGTCTCCTTTGACTTTAGTGCAGTTTTAGTAAATTTATACAAAATTGTTTTGTAGAAGAAAAAAATAAGGAATAAAAGTAAAAGTTAAACATCTAAAATTAAATATTATACACATTTAAACTAAAATTTGTATATTATAATTTTTAAATTTCTAATTGAAATCATATACTCTTATTGTCAATTTGTAACTTTATTAAAAATCTAAAACGTTATAACTACAAAGTCAGTCGAAAAATTGTGCTCTAATAGAAAAAGTTGAAAGACTCTTTTGTTGAATTTAATATTGTAGTATAGTACCAAAATAAACTCCGTATGTATTTTGTTTGAAGTGGAAAAGAAAAGTATGCAGCTTAAAGGAAAATGCTACCATTTTACACAAGAAATACATGTGAATTAATTTTTCCTACACTGTATTATAGTTATAAATTATTTTTCTCTCTCGCTTAATTAATTAATACTAATTTTGGTTATAGTTAGTAATACACTTTTTGAAAAATGTTATTTTTTAAGTCAGTATATTACTATAATCAAGTTAAATAAATTATTATAATGAACAAAATTCTCTTTTTAATTATTTAACGTAAAGAGTATTTTGAATGTTGAATAATTGTTTATATAGCAACAACAAAACCATAGATGGCCATCTACTATTTTTCAGCTTTGATATGATAAACTTATCATGATGACAAATATATATATCATTAACATCAACAAACAATGAGTACTATCGAAAATCCATGACTACTTTTGACAAACATTTTAAACACAATATAGGATAATTTTGGATAGACAACTTAAACATTTATTCTACAAGTTCTTATCATATGATGATTAATGACATAAATGTGATTATGAAATTTATTACAATAAATTGGGAAAAAATTATTTTGATAAGTTATACCAATAAAATTAATAAAATAAGCTACTTTTTAATGAAAATTATAAGTTATTTTCATAAATCTTCATAAAGTGTTCTAATTGCGCCATAAAACATAAGTCTTCCAGCTTAGGTCTTTGGTCCATTTCCCAGAAGTTAGGGGGACATGAGATTGATGAAGTTTTCTTTGGATTCCATCCACCATTAATTAGATTGATGAAGTTTTCTTAGATCTTTGGTAAAATCTTCAAGCTTTGACTGAACGATTTTGGGAGACAGTTGTGACTCTCTGCTCCAAAGATGCTCGGTGCTAAATATCCATATCACATTAAATATCATTGACTTAGTTATTCAATATTTAACTTTTCTAAAGCAAACAAATGTAAAAAGTGAGAATATTTGCTATTGCTTTGAATTACAGTATCTCACAAACTTAACTGATTCAATTGTAGATACAACTTACTTTCTTATTTGACATATTTTCTTGCTAAAGGAGATTTAATTTCAATTAAGATAATTTCGAATTGATTTTAGAATAAAAATAAATTGGTATGCATTATGAATAATACGGTACTCTTAAGTATAGGAAAATAATTAAAAATATAAGTTCAAAAAAATTTATTTAAGAGAAAAATGATACAATTAATAAAAGTTTATTTTTATATAAATTAAAATATAAAATATATAATTTTAAAAATTTTAATTTTGAATATTTTCAAAAATTAGTTCATTAATAAATTGTGTTTAATTGTTGATTTGCAAATATCCCATTGTGTTTAATGTTTGATCAAAGATATTTAAGCTTTCATTAAAAAAATAAAGAAAAGTAAAAATACCCTTTGAATGAAAAACTAATTAAGGAGTAAAATTATTTTGATTTAAGATATGTCAAAAATGAAAAAAATATGTGTTTACATGAAAAATGAGCAAGATATAATGTAAAGAATTTACTCTATCTTTTTCTTTTTAATCTATTTACTTTTTACATGAAATTTAATTTTTCTACTTTTCTATTTAGAAGTTGGAGATGATATTTGTTTAGTAATAATATTTTTATTTGCTCTTCAGATTCTTTGCTTGTTAGGAGAAGGTTGATCCTATAACATCCTTACTTTATTAAAAAAAATAAGAAAATAATTTCATAATAAAAAATAGATAATTAATTTAAATCCATTTACCAGTCAAGTATAAGACGTGGAATTATAAAACATTTCGTTTATTTTGCTTGAACTTATAAAATTTTAGAGAATGAATCCATGGAAGTAAAACAAATTAAAAAAGAAACATG